ATTGTGTTAGATGGTTGCTGGCCCTTGGATCTCCGGAGTAGGGCACTTTTTTCTAACCATTGGCCCTGGGAATTGGCTCCTAAACACATTGCAGAAGCCCTATTGCAAAAGCTACCCTGAACACTGTGAAGGGTTGAATTTTATCTCCCCCAAATTAATATGTTGAAATTCTAAACCTTAGTACCTCGGAATATGACCTTATTTGGAAATAGTGTCATTCCAGATGTAATTAGTTAAAATGAGGTCATACTGGAGGAGGGTGGTCCCTATTCCAATCTGACTGATGTCCTTATAGAAAGAGGAAATTTGGACAGACGGAGAGAATACCATGTGAAGATGAAGGCAGAGATCAGGTGATGCAGGAGCCGCGGAATGCTGAAGATTGCTAGCAAGCCACGGGAAGCCAGGCAAGCGGCATAGGCACATTCTCTCTCATGGCTCTCAGAGGGACACTTGATCTTGGAATTCCAGTCTTCACAACTGTGAGACAATACACTTCTGTTATTTAAACCTCCCAATCCATGGTCTTTTGTTAGGGCAGCCCTTGGAAATGGATACAAGCACCCATGCCTCTTCCTCTCCTTTCCTCGAATCTCTGCAGTTCTGGGTGGATGATCACAGGGATAAACTTGTGCCTATCATGAGGAAGCTGCCAGGTGCCATCAGGTTTAATCTAGTTAAAAATGAAAATTCTCATTTCTTCAAAAGATTTGTGAAAGTCAATTGATTGGATATTGCAGGTACAAGGAAAAGGAGATAATTTTTGATAGGAGGACCCCTTTAATACACTGGAAATAATACCAAATACGTTGTTTCATCTACTTTCTTTGAGACCTTTCTACCCAAGAATGTCACTTATTCCAGAGTTTTCTGGGTGTTAACCTTAAGTTGTTTTTCTCCACAAACCTGATTTATCCTAACTGTATTAGTATTGGCGCTTGATTATTCCCATCTAATCATTTGTATGATTTTTAGTGGCATAATTGTTGAAAGCTGATATTAGAATCTTCAAAGTGGCATATCCTATTCAGCAGTGTTTAGTGCTTTATAATAACAATAATATTGGATGCATTATGCAGTAATAATGGAAATCACATTTGCAAAATCATTGCAGTAATGGGATGTTTTAAAATGCGAGAAATAGAAAAAGCACACTGGAAGAGCAGAGCATGTTTTATTCACAGCCTTTTGGCTGCCTGTACTCTCAGGTCAGAAGGCAGAGAAGAGCTTATGTGCTCCCCAGGGGGCACCACCCTGGGCTGCATGGTTTAGGCAGCTTTTCAGTCACTGGAATCAAAAGAGGGTGGGAGCATTGCTGTGTTTGAAAATACTTTTTGCTCTTTAGAATAGATTAGCATTTTATAAATGAAAATTGGATTTTCAAAGAAAGGCTCTGCTGCGATTTAGCCTAATGATTTGGTTCCCTTTGATTTGCTCATAACTTCTGATTGATAGTTTATTTTTAAGATGTTTGGAATAAATATACAAAATATATTCCTTATGCATCACTAACAGAGTTTTGAGGTCAATTTAAAGCTGATGAACTTTACTCTGTCCCTTTAATACTTCGATGTATTCCTCACATTCAACATATGCAAACTCACAGAAAACCATGGTGAACATGACTCTGTAAGGAACCTAAGACATTCTTGGCTATGTGAATTGATAGAACAAATGCTGGTTTTAGGTTCTGGATATTTTCTGTACCAATTAGACAATTTTATGAAGTTTTGATTAAATATTTCCTTTGGCAGCTTAATTCCTCTTATTCCGGGATTATTCTGTTTAAAATTTGCCAAGATTAAACAAAGCCATGGACATGCCAGGGCAGCAGAGTTGGGAAAAATGAGTGAAATAATTTATTTATTAATAGTGTTTTATTGTTATTTATTTATTTTTATTTTTTATTTTTTTTTGTAGAGATGAGGTCTCACTATGTCGTCCACGGTTGTCTTGAACTCCTGGGCTCAAGTGATCCACCTGCTGGGATTACAGGCATGAGCCACTGCACCCAGCTAAATTTCACTGTGTCTGATTCACAATAATTATTTTAGCCTGTTGTGTATTCACATGCAACCTGTCTTTGCTCAGTTCCTCTCATGAAGAAAGGTTTTGTTTTGTTTTAACTTTTTCTCTTTGAGTTTGGAACTATTGAACGGACAAGCTGGTTTACAGACATCCAGTCTTTCCTAAGGCACTCAGTATTCTTGGGGTATTACCATCACTTTTTCCTTGGTGGACCGGGAGGTACAATCCAAGGCAAGAATGTGAAACCGTGTCTCACAGAGTCTCAGGCATCAGGACAAAGCCCATTTTCTTGTAGCTGTTATATGTAAATTCTGTGTACCTTCTCTTCCATTCAACTCTGAAATCACCCAAGGAACGTGTGTTAGGCTGCTGTTGTGTTGCTATAAAGAAATATCTGAAGCTGGGTAATTTATAAAGCAAAGAGGCTTACTTGGCTTATGGTTCTGCAGGCTGTACAGGAAGCATGGTGCCGGTACCAGCTCCTGGTGAGGCCTCAGGGAGCTTACAGTCATGGTGGGAGGTGAGGAGGCTCCAGCCTGTCAGATGGCAAGAGAGGGAACAAGAGAGAGGGGGGCAAAGGTGCCACACTCTTTCTAAACAGCCAGATCTTACGTGAACTCAGAGCTAGAACTCACTCACTATCTCGAGGACAGCACCAAACCATTCTTGAGGGATCCACCCCTATGACCCAAACACCTCCCACCACACCCCACTTCTACCATTGGGAATCATATTTCAAGATGATATTTGGACAGGACAAACATCCAAACTATGTCAGAATGTTTCTGTGGCACAAGGAGCCTCACATTTGAGCCTCATATGAGAAACTTATCAAACAGACATGCAATGAGAAGGGAAATAATGGGTAGCATACATCTTGGTGTTTATCTGTTTTTCTAAACAAGCAAAGTTATTTTCACTTTCATGGGGCAGGATATTCATGACTTCAGTCAGCAGCTTCCTGAAGGGCTGCTTAAGGTTCTGCTGTCCCCTCGTGGGGCTACAGCCTTTGCAATGATTTCCTCCAGCCTCATTATTCCAGTTTACGTCTGAATGCTGTCAGCTTTCCTCCATGTGGTAAAATTATCCCCCTTGAAAAGTGCTCTGCAAATGTAAACTGGCAATATTGATAATAATACTTTATTCACTGACCTATATTCGCTCTCTAGATAGCACCTTATTTTCCAGACTCCACACCTCTTTGGGACTCTGAGTTACCCATTTTTCCTCTTGGGTGTATTGGAAGAGGCAATGTTATGTAGGGGTTACAAACACAGGCTCTGTAGACAGACTCTGTTCAGAGTTTACCACTGCCTCTCTAGCCATGTGACTGGGGATGGGTTCCTCACTGAGTCTGGTTTCCTAAACTTTAGGGATACTCACAGAATCACCCTTACAGTGTTGTTGAGACGATTAAATGGATATTGCAAGGGGAAACCCTTAGCATGGTGTCAGGTACATATAATTACTTGGTAAAGATGAACTTTCACTGTGTTTAGGGTTCTGGTGTTCTAACGGATTTTTTGCATGGGCAGTGAAGAGGAGCGGATTCTCATGACTTGATTAATTGCAAAATATTGATCTTCCAATCCTCTTCTTCCTTTATTCTGTCTCACTTGAATGTGAACTTGTGTTCATTAAATAAGCAGAGGATGGTGTTGCTGCTTTTTTTTTTGCTTGTTTTTTTTTTTTTTTTAAGAATGCTATACTGGTATGTACATTGTAAAGAAATCATAGAATAATAATTTTTTTTATAGTCCAATATTCAGATACTCAATAACTTTTTCCTTGGTGTCCAGTCTTGATGAAGTTGGAGTTGGGGGAATGAGGCTTGCAAGATAGTCCCTGCAGGCAGTGGCTCTCTGTCACTTCCTTTCTGTAGACACCTTCTGTCGGGACTTGGCTGAGTTTCCTGGGGTGGCAGATAGTTTGTGGGGTGCACAGAGGTCTGTGATACACTCGCTCTACCTTCTCCTTCTCAGATATCCATTCCCACTGGGCAAAAAGCAAGACAGTCTGCTGTGATTTTTGCCTGGCATTTCATCATTTGTGTATTAACGTATGTTAACATAACAGGCTCACGCCTGTAGTCCCAGCTACTCAGGAGGTGGAGGCAGGAGGATTGCTTGAACCCAGGAGTTTTATACCAGCCTAGGCAACATATCAAGACCCCCATCTCTTAAAAACAAGAACAAAAAACCAAAACATTTAGTATGGAATGGGGTTAGAAATTCATGTCATAAATGGCCACTTGAAAACCACTCTCCGCTCTAAAATTTTAAAAATTCTGCTTCCTTCAGAGATAGTTATAATGTGAAACTCCCGATATCAAGATGGCTTTACTAAATCTGCTGATCTCATTTCATTGCTTTGTTATAGATTGACGTTCTCAAGGCAGATCTGGAAAGTGCAGAATGGAAAGTTTTGGAAAATCTTATTCTGGAAGGTGTTCTTGAGCGGATTGGACAGCTCATCTTTGAGATCCATCTCCACTGGCCTGGGTTTGAGGTCAGTGGCAGTGACAGCAGCGTCGTGAGGTTCTGGTACAGCCTTCTCAAAGAGTTAGAACAAAAGGATTTCAGGCTTTTTCACAGTTATAAAGATTTATCTAAACCTCAGCTATTCTTGAAGAAAGACATTTTCAATGCAAGTAGCTGTTACACTCTGAGTTGGGTGAATACAAGATGGAAATAGGATGCAGGATGTCCTCAAGAGCACAAGAAAATATTTGAAGAATGGAGCATGTCCGCGATTCTAATCATGAGTTTACTCATCCAGTCTCCCGCTAGCCTGTGCCCTGCTTGAGGCAGGGAGTGTGTTATTGCCTTTGCAGTGCATGCAGCCTGGTGCTTGGCATGTGATAGGGGCACAGTTAATACTTGTCAAAGGGAGGAACACAGTCACCCCTATTTGCCCAGACGCTTCTTTCACCGTAACCTGGAAGATTATCCCCCATTCATCTCAGTTTTCCCTAAAATTCTCTGTGTATCTGTAATCTATGAATTCACCAACATTGAAATGAAATTATATACATTTCCTTTTTTACTAGGTTGGTGAGATTTTTAAGTTCTTCGCCTACTGTTTAAAATAGGGTTTTAAATTTGAATTTGACTCTGCTTTTTCAAGATTTTTCTTATTTACCTTGTCAGTGATATTCTTTACAACATTGTTGATTTCAGTCATTCCTTCTCAGCCTTTGCTGAGGCCGTGCTGTGGCTTTATAAGCAGCAATACTTCTGATTTCTGGGAATTCGGATGCACCAAATTCTGTCACTGAGTTAAAGAGACTAGACTATCAAGAGTTTCAACTCGAAGGTGTAAGTTCCAGTTCGAGACCAAGTCTGAAGGCAGGAGACCCATGTCCCAGCTTGAAGATAGCCAGACAGAATGAATTCTTCCTTACTCTGCCTTAGGTTCTATTTAGGCCTTCAGGTGGTCGAATGAGGTCCACTCACACTGAGGTGAAGAATCTGCTTTATTCAGTCTACTGATTTAAATATTAATCTCATCTAGAAATATCCTCATAGATATACCTAGAATAATGTTTAACTAAAGATCTGGACGCCCTTTAGTCAAGATGACACATGAAATTAACCATTGTAGGTAGGTAGGTAGATGGATAGATAGATAGTTAGATATATAGATAGGTTTTCCTACTGGCATGTTTCACCATTTTCTTGACTCACATATTCTTGTTTCTATCTGGCTCCTTCAGTCTGTGCTCTCCTCGCTGAAGTAAGTCCTTTAATGCTTACTTCATTATGAGTCCATGAGTGATATGGTTTGGCTATGTCCCCAGCCAAATCTCATCTTGAATTGTAGTGCCCATAATCCCCACATGTTGTGGGAAGGACCTGGTGAGAGGTAGTAGAATCATGGGGGTGGTTTCCCCCATGCTATTCTCGTGATACTAAGTTCTCATGAGATCTGATGGTTTTATAAGGGGCATCCCCCTTCACTTGGCTCTCATTCTTCTCCTTCCTGCTGCCATGTGAAGAAGGATGTGTTTGCTTCCCCTTCCACCATGACTGTTTCCTGAGGCCTCCCCAGCCATGCTAAACTGTGAGTCAATTAAATTTCTTTCCTTTATAAATTACTCAGTCTCAGGTATATCTTCATAGCAGTGTGAGAATGGACTAATACAATGGGTATTACACTTTTTAGATTTTACATATTTGAAAAAGCACTTGCTTTTCATACCTGAATAAAGTTTATTTGTGCACAGGAAAAAAAAAGAGCTTCAACTCAAGATGTTTTTTATACTCAACCTTAATTCCCCTTCACTTCCTATTAAACTAAGCACAGAGCAGGATCTGGGTATCTTTGCTCTTGCCTCTTCTGCCTTCAAACATGATTTTTCCACCCACAGACTTGCCTATGCTGTCAAATCATTTTTTAAAAATACGTTATGTCTAATAATGTTAAGTGCATTTTTCTTTACTCCCAGTTGGCATCACTTACACAACTGTGGCCTGAGGACCATCATCTCATTTTCCTAGGATAGTTAGACAGTTTTTCAATAGCACCAATCCTTTCTACATTAAAAATTAAATGGAAAGTTTAGGTTATCAGTGCTTCAAATGCTCTCTCTCATTACTATTTACAGGATTAAACACGTGCATAATTTTCCAAAATCCTATTTCAAATAAATAGCATAAAAAACAAATTATTACTTTATTGCCAATTAAATATATTTTTTGGCATTTTTATATCCTGAGTATAAAACTGTATGTACATTGTTCAAGAATTGGGGGGAGGGAGTAGAATACTGATTATTACTAGACTTTACCCCTTTTCCCAATTTTGTACCTCCTTCTACCCCCAGACATTCCCCAGGTTGGCTCTTTGTTTCTTGAAGTGGTTTGAAAATGCCATTCCTCAAGTGAGAAATCAAACCATATTAGACTAGGATGACCTCACTAGCTTGAGTTGAAAGAGAACAGAACTTTCTGAGTTAGTTGTGATAATTAAAAAATACATATACCCATGAGCTTTTTATTTTAAAACTCATAGTCCACTAATAAAAGTTGTTGAGCTGAGAGGACCGGCTTCCGGCTTGAGTAAGCGTGATCTGAAAAGGCAGTTTAGTCATTTCAATGTACAGAGGTATTTCAGATGTGCGGAAGGGTCCACGCACACTCTAAATTGGTTTATACTGCTAGTTTATATGGTGTCATCTCCAAAGCAAAGCTTTAGGCCAGTTCTGTTTGGATTATATAACAGATTTATTTTCATAAAATTTTTATATACTGAAATATATAAACATTTTTATACATTAAAATGTGGAAAGTATATTCATCTTAAATGTCCAGTCTGATCAGCTTTTAGATATGTAACACACCCATATTAAGATTTTTAATTCGTGGAATTGGAGATTTAGGGCATTACTGAAAGCCCCTTTGTCTACGGCAAGTTAACTATTTACTTCAGGTTGGTGGTGTTGAGCATTGACTTCATCATGCTATATGTATCTGAAGCAAGAATGAATGTACTATTAAAAAAGAATAAATCATGAACATACCCAGCCACATTCACTGATCAGGCAGCCTGTTTAATAGTTATTCATACTTATTTTATGCTTATTTCTAAAATGGTCCTTCATTCCCTTCATGGATAGTTTGAAATTTGTGATGAGTACTCTGATGGTTGTTAAGGTGTCCTTGCCTCTAGAGTTTATTATGTTTATCATGTAGGCCAGGGTTTCTTAACCTCAGCACTATTGCCATTTGGGCTGGATAATTCTTTACTGGGGAAGGGCTGTTCTGTGCATTGTAGGATATGTCCCCAAGGGGGCAAGATCACCCACTGTGGAGAACTACCGGTGCAGGCCATGAGAAGGAGACCAGGCTACTGTAGCACTGTTTGCTTGTGAACAGGCGAACACAAGATCCTCTTATGAGGAACAGGCAAAACCATAATCATCACCACCACAACCACCACAAGAGCGACACAAACAACACACAACAAACAAACAAACAAAATCAAGTCACTCTTTCCTGAGAGCTTACTGCCCGCCAGACCATGTGCATAGCTTATTCCTGATTCTCCCAACAAGGAAGTTTATTTTTTTCCAATATTATGGGTAAAGAAATTCTGAGAGAGGCTGGGCGCAGTGGTTCACGCCTGTAATCCTAGCACTTTGGGAGGCCGAGGCGGGCGGATCACGAGGTCAGGAGATCGAGACCATCCTGGCTAACACATTGAAACCCCGTCTCTACTAAAAATACAAAAAATGAGTGGGCGTGGTGGCGTGTGCCTGTTGTCCCAGCTACTTGGGAGGCTGAGGCAGGAGAATTGCTTAAACCTGGGAGGTGGAGGTTGCAGTGAGTCAAGATCACGCCACTGCACTCCAGCCTGGGGGACACAGAGAGACTCCATGTTAAAAAAAAAAAAAAAAAAAAGAAGAAGAAGAAGAAAGAAACTCTGAGAGGTTAAATGGCTTACTCAGATTACTCAGGTTGTAGATGGAGGAACAGTCATTTACATTTGGGTCTGTCAGATCCCCAAAAGCCCTTGTTTGGTCCCATCCACAATGCAGTTTCCAAAGCCTGTACCAAGCATAAGATGCTGTGTCCAAAGGACACATTTTTGCCTCCCTGTTAGTAAAAGCGGAGTGGGGGGAAACCACAAATAAAAAAGGCCTGCAAGTTTGAGTCAGAATTATTTTGTAGCATGCAGGGTTGCTGAACTTAAATCATCTACTTGATTAAAGTGGGCCTGCCAAATGGAAGCTTACTGAAGAAATATGGAGACCCAACAACTTCTCTGTCAATATATTTAGGTTGCCAGAAAAGCTCTTGCAGGTCTGGAAATGACTCTTCTTCTGGCTTGTCCCAATGCTTGTCACTTTCCTCCTGGGTTTTAGAAATGGCAGTCACTTGGAGTTGCTTAAGCAAAGTAATTCTCCTTTGCTTAAAACTAGTCTTTGACTTGCAGATAAATGAGCTAAGATGTGAATATCTGTGAATGCATCTCCTAAATTTTTACTAGAGCAGTGTTCATAAAGGATTCTGAAAATACCCATTTGATAATGCTCTTATCAAATAAGTAACAATGCTCTTTTGTAGGTGCGAGCCATATGAGGATGAAAGAAATTCACAATTTGCCTTTTAACATAAACTGTGTCATAATTTGTTAAAGAAAAACAATTTTCCCCTTCTTTTCTTACAGTGCTTATATTTGATGCAGTTAAAATAGAAAAGGTTATCATATAAATATTTGTAACTAGTTGACATGTTCAAATGAAGAACCAGGGAGAAGTGAACAAATTTCTGCTAGAATTAACCAAAAGTCCGAATTTACCTCAGGATAGGGCATAAACAAACTCATGGGTTAACAGTGTTTAGTACAAATCAGTTATTCATGTAAGCCTTTCTGCTTTAGTTATAAGATCTTTTAGTAAGTATAAGAATTGCATTTTTTAGCATTAAATGTTTAGATTTTGCGAAGCTTGGATTAGTCCCTGGAAGCCAGGCTTATCATATTTTGCAAGTGTAAAAATGATGACCTCATTTAAATAGATCATTATACTTAACAATACAACAGTACCTCCAAGCTCAATTAGTGTAATGTTCTTTTCTGATGGAGATAAATTTACGTTTGATTCTTAAGCAGTAACATAATTCTTTCTGTACTAGCCAATTGCTGATACTTTGTGGATTCAATAATACATTTAACCTTATGCTAAAATGTCTTACTTTTTCCTACATTGAAAGAGGTGCCTGAACTTATCAGATAAAATCATAACCCAAAGATTCAATATATTCTTAGAACTGCTTACATTTAGAGATTGTTCTTTAAATGACTTGATTATTTCTTAAGAAATATAAATCAAGCATTCTTAATGTTGTCACGCTTTATAACTATGTGGAGGCTGGGTGCAGTGCCATGTGCCTGTACTTCCAGCTAAGTGGGAGGATCACTGGAGTCCAGGAGTTTGAGACCAGCGTGGGCACCATAGTGAGACTCTATCTCAAAACAAACAAAAAAAACCAAACAAACAAAAAAGAGAACTATGTGGAAAAAATGGTTCCCAACACATTAAAATTTAATGCTTTCTTAAAACCAGCAACTTCTTATTTTTCTCAGATAGACTATTTTAACTTTTTGTTAGTGATTAGTTTTGTACAATGTGGCTATCTTAAATAATAAGGGATTTAAATTTGGGGGATTGAATTTGACTAAACTGTTCAAGACTAGGGAATTTTAATAGAGAAACCAAGTGTGCCCAGGACTGATATCTAATCAGTGTGTACCAGTAGAGAAGAACTATGTGCAACCTGGTGATTATAGTTAATAGCAATGTATCGTATACTGGAAAATTGCTCAGAGAGTAGATTTAAAATATTCTCACCACAAAGTAAGTATTTGAGGTATTGGATGTGTTAGTTGATTTAATATTCCACAATGTATACATATAACAAAATATCACGTTGTGTGCCACAAATATATACAGTTTATTTGTCCACTAAAACAAAAGTATGTCCCTTGGAATACATTGGACATATTTATACTTTTTAAAAGTACCAGTAGAGATACAGTGGTTCCCTAATGGTCCCTCTCCACTGGAGACCCTCTCCCAGGATGCCCAGGCCTCTCCCCATGACTGGGCAATTAAAGGCTAACGCACAGCACAAAAGGC